TAAAGCTTGATTTCAATGTTTTACATCTATTCTTCCAACCCCAAGTTGTGCAAACACATCTATGTTTATCTGTCCCCATCGTTCTCATACAACTTTACTCCATTATATGTTGAATATTCTATTCAAACTACTTCTTCTACTGACTTGTCAAAATAAGAGTGTTTAATGCCTGATATAGTTTCTATTGTTTTTTGGGTAACCAAGTTTCTGACAATACCTATTTAATAATAAGAAGGCGAAGAACAGAGCAGTTCAATCAACAATCTATCATTAGACATAAAATTTACATTTTGAGGCTGTTTGAGCGGTGAAACTTGCAGAATAAGTGAAGAATTAACAGGAAAGGAGTTTCAAACAAGGAATACATTCCAGCCCCGTGTGTATAAGACATAAAAGGGATTTCATACATAAGGTAACCTGGTTAAAAAATAATGCTAAATTGTGAATTTTGTTTACTTTGAGCAGTTCCATGTAAATAAATTTTATATAATCACACACAAGTGGTATGGCAAGATCCTCTTGTATTATAAGAAGAGAGGACAAGCTGGATTATAAAAGTTTCATTTTTGAGGCTTGACCTTCGTGCATTGCATAATTTATTGCTTTTTAATTTGATTCGAAACTTGTGCATTGAAAAGTTTATCAATCACTTGCAGATATCGTTCGGATATGAAGTCCTTAAAATAGTTGTATATAGAGTTGGCAAGTTGGTGGTGGGGAGACATTGCTTAAACATTTCAGAGTAAGCACGTAGATCTCAATCATGTCACTATCCATTGAATATGATGAAGATAAGATTCCTTCTGTCTTTTTTAACTCCACTATATATATTTATATTGAGCAGATGCCAAGAAAGAGAACAGGTCACAAGACTAATTGTGCTTTGTGGAACTGCAAGGCTTTATCCATAAAAAAAAAATGGCTGCCTCTCTTTCTAGAACACAACCAACTTGCCATACTTGCTTTAACAGCTTGCCTTCTAGGCCTCACCCACTAAGGTCAGAAGCTGGTGAATATTTGAGCAGACTAAGGTCTTCCGAAGCCACCTCTACATCTTCATCCATTGGCCAAAAACTAAATGACCTTCAAGATTTGCATGATTATGTTGTCAAGTTGCTTCAGTTGCCTCTCACTCAGCAAGCTTTCACCGGAGTGCAGTTGATGAAATGATGGACGGATCTCTTAGGCTCTTGGATCTTTGCAGCAGTACCAAGAATGCCTTGTTACAAACAAAGGAAAGTGTGCACGAGTTTCAATCAGCCATCCGAAGAAAAAAAGGTGGTGAAATTGCAGACGAGGTTAGGAAAGTCATAGCCTCTAGGAAGACTGTGAAGATGACAGTACAAAAAATTCTGAAGAGCTTGAAGGGTTTCAAAAATAACTTTGTGTTTGACAAAGATGAAAAAAGCTTTCCACCATTGCTAAGTGAGCTAGCAGCAGTAACAGTTGCAGTGTTTGAGTCATTGTTTTCTCTATCTATGGTTCAAAGGCACCATCAAAGCGAAGAAACAATTGGTTAGTACTTTCAAAGCTGATGCAAACAAGAAAAGCAGCAAGTAACAAAGAAACAGATGTAAATGAATTTTCTATGGCAGATGAAGCACTTAACTCCCTTCTTTGCAGCAGATCTAACGAAACCATAATAATTGAGAGTGCGCAAAGCAAGCTGCAAAGCCTGGAGTTGTGTATCCAAGATCTTGAAGCAGCGGTAGAGTGCCTATTTAGGTGCTTAATCAGAGCCAGAGTTTCTATCCACAACATGTTCAACAATTAGGAAAGAAATTATTAAGCAATACTGTCAATGAACCATATAAACATGTATATATATCCTTTTGATACATGAAACATTAGACCTCAAACTATTGCCTCTGTGTTTGCACTTTTTTTTTTCTCTCTCTGAGTTATATTTTTACTGCTTAACCAGTTAATACTAATTTTTAAAGCAGTTACTTTCCAAGATCTAAAATAATCAAAAGAATCTTATTATCCCAAAATTATGATGAAGCCAGTAGTCTTGAACTATTCTGTGTGAGAGCAAAATGTAAGGAAGCCCATCTTGCCTTATACACCAAATTTCAGGACATATAAGTATTTCTTAACTTAATACTTTGTTTAAAATGGTTTGTTTACTTGCTCTTGTAAGTGAGGAGGGCAGAGGCTATGGAATTTAGAAAAAGCAGGGAAAAAACAGAGCACAGAAAATTTAGTTGGAGCAGCTGGTTCACTGTAGGCTAAATGAATTTTTTTGTTTTTGTTTTTTTTTCCTTAAAAATTTATATTTATGTTAACGAATTTTTTTTAGAAAGAAACTCTTTTTAACGTTTTCAAATATTTTTCTCCCATCCAAAATTATATACGCAGTATTGAGATAAAAAGAGAAAAGGATTCAAAAGAAATCTAACCTTGATTAAACTCATATATTATCTAGTAACTAATCTCGATTTTAGGTTCTTACCACTGAATCTGTTCCTCTTTCTTGTTGTTCGTTAAGAATTTCATTTAAAAACTTGTGTAGGAAAATGAATCTAAAATTTCGGATCTTGCTACTTATACTAGTTTATTACATCGTAGTTTAGGAAAACTTTAATACCTTCATATTTAATTAATAATTAATTCTGTATTTCTGTATTTATTGTTATTGTACTTACTTATTATATATATATATATAGTATTCTTGATTATCAGTCATTAAATTCTCGCCTCCTCAAAGAAAGTTTAGCCCCTTAAGCTTCCAAATCTAATTTACCGAATAAGGAAAAATATTGCACTTTTATCTCTTCCTCCAACTGCTAAGTTGCTTCCCTCTGTGCAAGAAAGCAGGGGAGAAACAGAGCACAGAAAATTTAGTTGGAGCAGCTAGTTTACTGCTTTCTGGTGAAGAAACTTTAGTCATGGAATTTTATATGGGAGATGAATTGCATTTTTCTGTTCAAAGGAAGATTGCATTGTTGAAGCTAGGAAATATTGTGACAAAAAACCAAAGTTGAACGGTATTTCTTGTAGTGTGATCTCAATCCTTAACAATTTTCCAGCAATTAAACTTTACTGGATTTAATTGGAAGAGCTTTCTATTTGCAACAATTTGACTATACTATCTTAATGGAAAATCTTCTCCACCCTCTTTCTGGTTTTTTCATTTTATTTTCTTCCCCTCTTGATTCTTTTGGAGGTCGTTAGATATGCAGGATGTAGTTTTCGCTCAATCACCAAACACATTGAGCATGAAGCATAACCATGTGAATTAAACAATAAAGCTAAATATTTTTGGTAAAATAATGTTGACAAGAGTGATTTGGCAGAAAAATTCTGTTTTTGATTTTATGTACAACTAGCATCATTTCTAGGCTAGTGATTCAGTACATTGAGAAGGGTGACTCTAGTCTTGATTAATCTTCTATATAAGCACTCAAGTCCTTCTTCAAGATCTTGAACGCACAACTCTAAATCTCTCAGCTGCTCTTGCATATTCTCAACAGATTTGCTTATCTTGTGACCACAAAGAGATTGCAATGTGCAGTCCACCATGGCGAATTCATTTTCATCTGCTTCTTCTTACAGTTGCTGCTTTTTTCTGGTGCATCAATTTGGAAAGTAATGACCATCCACTTGGCTTCAATTGTGACTTTGAGCCTGAGATAAAGAGCAACAATGACTCGAAAACATTGAGAGTAACTGCTTCCACTTTTTTTAACATGTAGCAACAGTTGTTTTATCCTTGTCTTTGTTCAAGGGAGAAGGTTTGAATTGCTTTTGCATGCTCTTCAAGCTCCCCATGGCCTTGCGGATTGTCTTCTTAGCCACCTTCCTTGAGGCTAATATTTTCTTAATCTCAGTTTTGACTCCAGATTTTCTTCGGATGGTTGAAAGAAGTTCTAGAGTGCATTCCTTTGCTTGGAGCAAGGCGTCCTTAGCTGTGCTGCAGATTTCTAAGAGCCTCAGAGATCCATCAAGCAAGGCGGCAACCCATTTCTCTTGCTGCTCTTGTAACAATGTTCTTTGGGTGAGAGGCAAGAGAAGCAACTTCTCAACACAATCAGGAAAATCTTGAAGGTCATTTAGATTGTGGCTTATTAATGATGAAGATGAAGATGCACCTTCGGAAGCTTTTATTCTGCACGAGTTCTCTTGAAGCTGTGGAAGGACAGGATGTGGTCTAGAAGGCAAACTGTTGGAGCAAACATGGTAGGCAGCCATTTGTTTCCTTACAAAAGAGAAGACCTAGAAGATTAATATTACTAAACTTACTTCTTTAGAATTTGCCTTCTGTTCTTTGCATCTCTTCAATATATATGGCAGACTAAGGGAGACAAAGGGAATCTCTTTCTCTTAAATTATGGATTACAAGTAGATTAAATATATTGATTTGGATCTAGGTCCTATCTCAGCAATGCTTTTGCATGTGTCCCTCTCAGCAATCAGTTATCAATAATTCATCAAACCAAACGTGTTACTATTATAAAATATGCAAATACATGAATGGCATTACATGATATACAATCGTATTTTCTGTCAGAATCAAGACTTATTAGGTGATTCAATCATAATGTCATTGCTGTGCAGGAGGCAGGCAAGATCACCATACACGGAATATGTTCTTATGTATATACAATATATAGAAAAACTTATGGTGCTAGTTTACTAGTTTCTTGTAAGTATTTGCTTATGGGGGTAGAGACAAGTAGAATCTCAAGCATTAAGAATGGTATTACGTAATGCCACTTGCATGTTGCATATTTAGCAAATTCTTCCTTTTTTTTTTTCTTATATGAGGTCCTTAAAATACTTGTTTGTAGAGTTGGCAAGCTGGTTGTAGAGGGACATTTCATAAACATCGCTGAGATTGCCTACATATTGAGACAAATATCATGTTACTATCAATTGAGTTGACGAAGATTAGATTCCTCATGTTTCTACCACTTAGTTGTATATATTGAGCGGATGCCAAGAAGGAGAGCATTGTCACAGGACAGAATTTCACATTGACACATCAAAGCCTCTCAATCTAATCGGGAAAAATGGCTCCTATTCTTTCAAACTCCCAACCAATTTACCATACCCGTTCTAACAGCTTTCCCTCTAGACCACATCCTCTCATTTTGGAAATCAGTGAGCACTTGAACGGATTAAGATCCTCTGAGGCAACATCTACTTCTTCATCATCTATAAGCCAACAACTACATGGCCTTCAAGATTTGCATGATTGTGTTGACAAGTTGCTTCAATTGCTTCTCACAAAGAAACTTTTCTCGCAAGAGCAGCACAAGATCTTCTTTGATGAAGTGTTTGATGGATCTCTCAAGCTGTTGGATCTGTCCAGCATTGTCAAGGATGCATTGTTCCAAACCAAGGAAAGTATACACGAGTTTCAATCAGCCATCCGAAGAAAAAGGAGAGGGGAAATTGCAATCTCTGAGATTAGGAAATTAATAGCATCGAGAAAGATTGTGATTAAGACAGTCAAGAAGATCTCGAAGAGCTTAAAGGGTTTGGAGAGTAAATACAAATCTGACAAAGATGATGAAGTTTCTTCCATGATTCGTTTGTTGAGAGAAGTGAGAGAAGGCACTTTGGTAGTCTTTGAGTCATTGTTGTCCTTAATATCTGGATCAAAGCCACCATCAAAGTCCAGCAGCAGAAACTGGGGTTTACTTTCCAAGCTGGTGGACAACAAAAGATTATCCTGTGAGGAAGAACCAAATGTCAACGAATTTGCAATGATGGATGCTGCTTTGCACTCTGTCATTGGCTGCAAAATTGAAGAGACCATCAAAATTGAGAATCTGCAAAGCATGTTTATAAACTTGGAGCTGTGCGTTCAAGATCTTGAAGGAGGACTTGAGTGCCTCTTTAGGTGCTTAATCAAAGAGAGAGTTTCTATTCTCAATATCTTCAGCCACTAGACCTGAAATGATTTTGACTGATACTTTGTACATGAAAAGAATACAAATTTCATTATTCTTTTGATATAGAAATTATTAGCCTTCTCGAAAATTTTCTTCTATACTTTCCTTCTATCTCTGTCAATTTTCTTTTTGGAGCTTTATGTTGGATATTAGTTTTCTCAATTCTCCATTTAGTAAAACCATGAAAATATGAAAAATGAAATTGTCTGAGAATATGAAATAGTAGACACTATTAACTGGAGTTAAAGGTTTAAGGCATTAAACCAAGGACAACAAGCATTTTGAAAAAGAGAGAAGAAATCTTTACTTCAATTTGTGAATGACGTCAAAAAGTTTGAACGAGAGAAGAAGAACACAGCACATAAAATTCTCCTAAAGTTTTATAAACTCATAGCACCTGGAAGCTGTTCATCTTAATAATAACTACGCTTCTGAAAAATTCAATGGACATTTCGTAATAGTATAAAAAGCAGCACAATTGGTTATATTATATGGACTAAGACTATATAATATAAGCATCTGGGAAAGTTTTGGTTTAATAAATGTATATAACACAGCCTTTTTTATTGTGTAAAAGAGCACAAGTGTAGTACAGATCCCATTGTCAATTGCAAATGCAGTGCCTAAGTGAAAGGTTTCCAAAGTGAAACCTCTTATTACCTATCTCTGCAGGAAAAAGAAACCTGCTGCGCAGACTTCACCAGCCACTACGAATATCGTGCTCTTTAATGCATCAGACACCTACTTGTGATCTTCCTTTTCCCCACTTTCATCTGATGCTGATTCTTAGCGGCATGGGTCATCTTAAGCGTAAATCAATATAGTTCTCTCCAAAAGCTTCTTTCACCTCTATTTTGACTGAAGAACTTAAATCCTATGCATAGGCAGCTAAGTCGAGTTTAATGCAATAGTATTTAATGCCTGATATACTTTCCATTATGTTTTGGGTATCCAAGTTTCTGATAATACTTATTTAATAATGAGGGGAAGAACAGAGATGTTCTGTCAACTATTTATCTTTAGACATGAAATTTTCGTTCTGAAGAGGTTTGAGCAGTGAAAGTTGCAGAATAAGTGAAGAACTGACAGGAAAGGAGTTTCAGACAAGGAATACATTGAAGCTCCGTGTGCATAAGACATAAAAGGGATTTCATTCATAAGTTGACCTTAAAAAATAACACTAGATTGTTAATTTTTGTATATTTTGACCAATTCCATACAAAAAAATAGATATATAATCACACACGAGTGGTCTGCCATGACCCTCTTCTATTATAGAAGAGAGGACAAAGTGGATTATAAAAGTTTCATTTTTGAGGCTTGACCCCTCGTGCATTGCATATTTTATGTGATTGTTTATAAGTGAATTATATATGGAACATTAGGTAACTGAAGAATATGTGGAAGATACAGTTTTTAAGGATTAAGATCAACTTTGAGTTTGCATAGAATTTTATTATATGGTACCACCACGAGTGGCTTAGCTGGATTGCATTTTAATTTGATCCAAAACTCGTGGATTGAATAGTTTATCAATGATTTGCAGATATGTTCAGATATGAGGTCCTTAAAATATTTTTATACAGACTTGGCAAGTTGGTGGTGGGGAGACATTGCTTAAACATTTCAGAGTACACACGTTGATCTCAATCATGTCACTATCCATTGAATAGATGAAGATAAGATTCCTTATGTCTCTTTTAACTCCACTATATATATATATATTTATAATGAGCAGATGCTAAGAAGGAGAACAGGTCTCAAAGCTTTATCCCATCTAAGAAAAAATGGCTGCCTCTCTTTCCAGAACACAACCAACTTGCCATACTCGCTCTAACAGCTTGCCCTCTAGGCCTCACCCGCTAAGGTCAGAAGCTGGTGAATATTTGAAAAGATTAAGGTCTTACAAAGCTACCTCTACATCTTCTTCATCCATTGGCCAAAAACTAAATGACCTTCAAGATTTGCATGATGGTGTTGCTAAGTTGCTTCAGTTGCCTCTCACTCAGCAAGCTTTCACCAGAGTGCAGAACAAGGCACCAGTTGATGAGCTGTTGGACGGATCTCTTAGGCTCTTGGATCTTTGCAGCAGTGGCAAGAATGCCTTGTTGCAAACAAAGGAAAGTGTGCATGAGCTTCAATCAGCCATCCGAAGAAAACGAGGTGGTGAAATTGCCGATGAGATCAGGAAATTCATAGCATCTAGGAAGACTGTGAAGATGACAATCCAAAAAATCCTGAAGAGCTTGAAGGATTTTGAAAATAACTACATGTTTGACAAAGATGAAGAAAGCTTTGCCACATTACTTAGTGAGGTAGCACCAGTAACTATTGCAATTCTTGAGTCATTGTTGCTCTTTATCTGTGGTTCGAAGGCACAATCAAAGCAAAAAAACAATTGGTTCGTACTTTCAAAGCTGATGCAAACAAGAAAAGTAGCAAGTGAGGAAGAAGCAGATGTAAATGAATTTTCCATGGTGGATGCAGCACTGCACTCCCTTCTTTGCTGCAGATCTAACAAAACCGTAACAATTGAGAGTGCACAAAGCAAGCTGCAAAACCTTGAGTTGTGTATCCAAGATCTTGAAGGAGAGCTAGAGCGCCTGTTTAGGTGCTTAATCAGAACCAGAGTTTCCATCCTCAACATGCTCAACAACTAGGAAAGAAATTATTAAACAATATTGTAAATGACCCATATAAACATGTATATCCTTTTGATACATGAAACATTAGATCTCAAACTATTGCCTCTATGTTGCACTTTTTTCTTTCTATCTTAATCAATTCTACTTTTTACGGCTTAATCAGTTTATACTAATTTTTAAGACAATTGCTTTTCAAGATCAAAAATAATCAAAAGAATCTTCTTATACCAAAAAATATGATGAAACCACTAGCATCGAACTATTTATTTGTTGAAGATCTTGAAGGAGGATTCGAGTGTTCTTTAGGTGCTTGAGCAAAGCCAGAGTGTCTATCCTCAACTTCTACAAGCACTAGACTTGGAATTATGTAAATGATACATGTGGAAGTTGTTCATCTTCATAACAATTATGTTTTTTAAACATTTAATTTACGTATTTAGTAGTATAACATGCATTATAGCCCAGAGAATTGACAGTGAAGGAGTTGAAACATGAAACAATCAGTCCTTGATTGTGAAATGAAGTCTAAAGAAAATTTTGGCTAAAAAATGTATGATAACATAATCATTTGTGTTATTTGACTAAATCAATATATGTAATATAGCCATTGATAGTTGTAAACTAGGAAAAAATGAATTTATGCAAGCAAATGGTTCTTGATGAAATTCTTGATGTATTCTTCCTAAAATAATGAACTCTGAGTAAATCAAAACAGAAAGATTAAAGATTTAATAATTTGAAGTGTAAAAAAGAAATTCTTAAACTGCTTGTGTGATATTGGACGAAGTCAATTCAGTTTTTAGTTTGGTTCCGCTGTCAAGAGTTTTAATTGTCTTAGAGAACATGGGTTGACACTGACCAAAGTGGAGGATGAACAGAATGAGTGCCTTATGTCAAAATTTATGCCATAACTGTAACATTACGTGTAATACTCAGTCCCAGAATTTGATTCAAGATTAATTTTAGTGTTAAAAAATGTGAAAAATTTTATTTTTGAAATTAATAAAAATTTAATTTAATGTGGAATTATGAAAAAATAACTTGATGACGAAATTGAAAACAATTTTGGGAAAAAGATGTGAAAATTTAAGTTCGGATAGTGTTTTTGAAAGAAAAATTGGAAAATAGGGGTCAAAACGCAATTAAGAAAAATTACGCCACGTATGACAGCCCAGTCAACAATCCCGACGAACCGAAACGTGCCACGTGGCAAGGCACGTTGACTCAATGCCATGTGGAAGGTCACGCTGGCGATCCGCATGCCCCACGATCGAACAGCCCAGAAGCGTTCCCGCGCGCGTGGACAATCTGGATCCGTTCCCTCTTCAGACACAATCGGATGGTCGCGATTAAACGCAACAAACGAGCCAGATTCGTTTTCTCTTTAAATGCAATCGGACAGTCGAAATAAAATTGCAATGAACGATCCAAATTCATTTTCTCTTTAAACGCGATCAGATTGTCGAAATCAAACGCGATAAATGACCCAAATTTATGTGAGACGGGTATAAATATTTCGCATCACACCGAATATAAACCCTATCTGCTAGCCTCCTGCCGGAGAAGAAGAACCAGTCGCCAAAAAAAGAAGCCGACCGTCGCCCACCACCGCACCAAAGCCACATCTGACCACCAAAAAAGGTAAAAATTCTCTTATCCGCCCGAAATTTGATTCCGAGCACCCCCATGACTAAATCGGAGCAAAAAGAACGGTAGATGAGCCAAAAACCGCAGGTAAAGTCCGGTAGCGCCGCCGCGGGCAAAACCCGTAACTGCCTCCGATGAGCCCCGTCCCGTTTCTTGTTTCATGCAATTTTTCCATTATTGTGTTCACCGTTCTGTTTTCTACAGGTTGACCGAAAAAAAATGTTCAGCCAGAAACGTGAGCCGGCGAAGGCGTTGCACCGAAAAATTCCATCGCTAGTAGGTTTTCGTTTTTTAACTTTTTTCGACCAACCGAGACCCCCTAACGTGTTTTCTCGCAGGGATGGGTATAAAACCAGTAGAAATCGAGCAAAACTAGCCGAAAACAGCCAGACCGAGGGAAACCGCCGCCCGCCGCGGCGAAGGTGCCGCCGTGGCAGAATTCTAAAATTGACCAAAAAAGGTTTTTAACACTGATTTTGGATTTTTTGTGATATTTTTAAGTACATTAAGCGTGTTTTAATCTTCATAGAAAAATTTAGGAAACTTGAGGACCGCCAGTAGGCATAGTAGAAAATTCGGTGTTTCGACACCGATTCGGGTAAGAATCCTTCACCTTATTCTCTGTTATGGAATTGAATTTTAATAATCGATAATATAGTATTTTGTATAATTTAGAAAACTTTGAAAATAATTATAGGTTACTAATGGAGCCGAAACCGATTAATCATTTATTTGTTGTCATGTGTAACTGATTGTTGAATTTACAGTTTTAAATATATGATAATATACTGGAATAGTTAAATGATTCAGTTGTGCTTCCTTAATATATATATATATTGCTTGTCTTACGTGATTTATGGTTAATTTATGAAATTGAAAATTAATATGCAAACAGAAAATTGTTTGGTCATGTGAATTAATAAATGGTAGACTTACTAAATATCTTAGGAGATAGTGGACAGACCGAGTACATAGAGAATTCTACCATGAATGTTATCTCATACCAGACGGGGTATGAGGACGGTCGGTTAGTTGACAATATTGGATATTGATTCACGCATAGTGGGACATCCCCATGGACCCTCAGGGATATCAGTAGGCAAATAAAAAGGGAAAATTATTGTTTTTACTCACTTGAATATGAAATTAGAATGTTATTTGAGTTATTGTCTCTATAGGTCGATTTTGTAAATTTTGCAACGATAAATATATGTAATAAATAGTTTTCCTTATAATAAATGAATTTACTTAAATTAAGAATTCTATTGGTTATTTTTTTTATTTTTACCAACATTCAGTTTCTGTATCGGTGAATAGTGTGATATTTTTACTGGATTAGTGCATTTCACCCTTTCATTAATTATGTCAGATCAATATGAGTAAAACTCAGATCCTGATCAACAAGAGAGTTGTGAATAGTTCACTACCTAACTCTCTTTAAAAGTTAGTGAAGGTCGTCCTAAAATATTCAGTTATTTATCTTTTGTTCATTTCTTTAATTTTCGTTTGTTCTTTTAGAATGTACTTTCTCATACTCCTATTAGACATTGTAAATTATTATGTAAGGAATGTAAACCCTAAATTCTATTATTTCGCTTCCGCATTTAATTTATGACTTTATTTGTTTTTAAGTTCTGGACTTTTACATTACGAGTTCAAGTACTACTAACCGAACAAATTTTCGAGTTCAAACCACTGACCCTTAAAAACTCAAACTCAATCTTGTAAATCAAATTTTTTATGCTTTCGTCAAGATAATACATCAAATAATCACAAATTATAATCCAAAGATCACAAGATTTAAGATCGCACTAAACTAAAATCACCAAGTTAGCACGTGATTTAACACTATTTGTAACGCTCTAGGTCCTAACACCACTAGCTCAATAAGATTTCGGATGCAAACCACTGACTCTTAAAAATTCAAACACAAGTTATTAATAATGTGTAACTTCAATCTTCATATGAAGTTTAACAGTCACAAACTTTTCTGATGTGAGATTACAATATCACATTAACAGTTTTTATGAGCTATTTATATTTACAATAACTATTTTTATATAAGCATTAACATCGTGCAGCATAAGCTAAGTATTTCAAATATGGAACCTGCATTCAAATGTACATAAATTCTAGAGTAAGTCAATTTTATTGAATCACACATGGGTGACCTGG